TACGACCAGCTACAGATGGTTTTGGAGCAGGTGCCATGCAGAGATGTGAAGATCGTCATGGGAGATATGAATGCTAAGGTGGGGATGGACAATACAGGCAGAGAGGAGGTGATGGATAAACATGGGGCAAGAGCTGAGATGAATGAAAATGGTGAGAGGTGGGTGGACTTCTGTTAGGCAAATGAGCTGGTAATCGGTGGAATGCTGTTCCCCCATAAGGAGTGTCACAAGAGGACATGGAGGTCTCCTGACGGTGTTATTGTGAACCAGATCGACCACCTGGCTTTTAGCAGGAGATGGAGGAGTTCACTGCCAAACGTTCCCATGTTGCGTGGGGCAGACGTTGGGTCAGACCACCATCTGTTGATGGCAAAAGTCAGGTTAAAGATTGCCAAAGTGAGAAAAGGGGAAAGTGGCCGAGTGTGTTTCGAGGTCAGCAAACTGAAAGACTTGGAGGTTAGGAACGCATTCAAGCTAGTGCTGCACAACAGATTTGAGGATCTGCAGTAGTTGATGGAGGAGGGGGAGGTGCCAGTGGATGATGAATGGAGGCTTATTGAACAAGGTTATGTGAGACGTGCGAGCAGGTGCTGGGTAGGGCAAAGGCAAACAGGAAGGTGTGGATCAGCAAGGAGACTTGGGAGGTAATCGAGCAGCGAAAAGTGGCAAAAAACACCATGAACATGGCCAGAACGAGAATGCAGAAGAGAGATGCAAACAAAAGGTACCAAGAGCTTAATAGGGAGGTGAAGAGGAGGTGCAGGAGAGACAGGAGGGTGTATGTGGAATCAGAAGCTGAAAGAGCTGAGGAGGCTGGAAAGAGAGGTGATGCAAGGACTTTGTACGAAATCACCAGAAAGTTAAGTGGGAGGTTCCAGAATACATGTAAGCCAGTGAGAAATGAGGCAGGCATGTTGCTCAGGTCAGCAGAGGAGGAGATGCAACACTGGAGGGAGCACTTTCAAACAGTGCTTAACCATGAAGAGCCGCTCAACCCCCCAGAGGTGGAGCCAAATAACGAGCTTAACATCAGGACAGGTTGTATCACACGTATTGAAATCAAGAATGCTATAAAGAAGTTACAAAATGGTAAGGCTGCAGGATGTGACAATATACCGCCAGAGGCGATTAAAGCGGGAGGGGACACATCAGAGGAGGTTCTTTTGGACCTCTGGAACAGGATATGGAGGGAGGAAAAGATACCAGAGGAGTGGAAGAAGGGTCTGATAATCAAGCTGCCCAAGAAAGGTGATCTGAGCTACTGTAAAAACTGGTGTGGCATCATGTTGCTGAACATGGCAAGTAAAGTGTTTTGCAGAGTGATCCTGGAGCGCATCAAGATCGCGCTGGATGAAAATTTAAGAGAGGAACAGACGGGTTTCTGAGCTGATCGAAGCTGTACGCATCAAATAGCAACACTGCGAATTATTGTGGAACAGAGCATCGAGTGGCAGTCCTCCTTGTATATCAACTTTATAGATTTCAAAAAGGCCTTTGATAGTATCAGCAGAGAGGTTTTGTGGAGGTTGTTGTGGCACTACGGGATGCCTGACAAGGTGGTTACCATCATCAGAGCTCTCTATGAAGGTTTTTCTGCACAAGTGGTACACAGTGGACAGAGGACCCAACCATTGAATATGAGGACCGGTGTAAGACAAGGCTGCCTGCTATCTCCCCTGCTGTTTCTGGTCGCCTTCGACTGGGTGATGACGACAGCCTTTGACAGGAAGAGAGGTATTCAGTGGACCTTTACAACATCCTTAGAAGATCTTGACTTTGCCGAAGATCTGGCCCTACTATTGCACAGAATTCAAGATATGAGGGATAAGACACGGGCCTTGGAGGTGCAAGGTGCCAAGGTATGCCTGAAGATCAATGCCACCAAGACAAAGTTGATGCGTATTGGTACCAAACATGGTGATGGTGTGTTGGTTGCAGGGGGGTGGATTGAGGAAGTGGATGAGTTCACATACCTTGGGAGCATTGTAAGCAAGAAGGGAAGCACTGATAAGGACATTCAGGCACGAATTGGAAAGGCTAGACAGGTATTTGCGATGCTGGGACCAATATGGCGATCCACAGCACTAACAACCAAGACCAAGCTGAGAGTCTTTGGGTCAAATGTGAAGGCAGTGCTCTTGTATGGTTCTGAAACTTGGAGGCTGACTAAGGGTTGGAGCAGAAGTTGCAAGTGTTCATCAATAAGAGCCTGAGGAACATATTGCAGATTTGGTGGCCTAGAAAAATCAGCAAAGGGGAGTTTTGGAGACAAACAGGGCGACCGATAGAGCAAGAGATGAGACAAAGAGCTTTGGGCTGGATCGACCATGTGTTGAGGAGACCAGATGGACATGTAGTCAAGAGGGCACTGGAGTGGAACCCACAGGGGAAGCGAAAGAGAGAGAGACCCCAGCACACCTGGCGACGTACGAGAATGGCAGAGTTGGAGAGGAAACATCTCGCATGGAATGAGGCAAGGGGCACTGCACAAAATAGGCTTAGGTGGCGGGCTCTAGTTGAGGACCTATGTTCCACTAGGAACGAAGAGGAATAAGTAAGTATTGCTTGCCTGTCATTGATACCATTAATCCACGAAGTAAAAAGTTTGTTAGGGGGAGGAGGGGACATCAAGAAAACAGGTGACAAAACTTAATGACAGCCCTGACAGCAGCACTCAACCAAGACAAATTGGGTATAAAAAAGGAAATTCAAGACATCTCTGCAGAATAGATCAGAACACCTGCTATTTTAAGATCTACTTTCAATTTAACATTAGAAATCATACTTCTTCACTAGTTAATAGAAACATTGACCAGTGGTGCAAAGAATATAACTGTGTTCCAATCACATGATCATGGGTTAGTCAAATCATTACACAACAAGAAACCTGACATTATTATTCCACCACCACACACTCACAAAATATTTTACCCAACAAACATCTTTAAACTGTAGCCGTAGTAGAAGTTGTATCTCTCACACCTTAAAAATAATAAAAAGTTCTCAAAGCAGGACCTTCAAAACTTATACTACAGTACTACTTTTAACAACTTCTCTGTCTTGAAAAAACAACTGGAAGAATTTACAGGTCAATATATGTCCTTATTATCCAACTGCAGCGAATACCGTCCAAATAACAGTACAAATGTACAGTGATATATTGTACAGTTATTTGTACAGTAGAAAACCTGTTTGCCATACAGGTCGGTGCACGCACACAAAACTGTCACACTCTCCCTCTTTCATTGATAAATTTATTGACTACACCAGTTAGATAATAAATCTCTTATTTGATGTTTTGGTGTGTAGTATCACTATATTTTCACTTGTTGTTTGTATTTTGACTCACCCTACGGGCTCATCAAAATACAGCACAACTCGTAAAAATATACAGCGATACTGCACACTAAAATATCTAATAAGATATATGTAATCACACTTAAATTACCAGTATTATTATTTTCTATTTTACTTTTATTTTCTCAGCAAAAATAACTCTTATAGACCATTAACAAAGCAATCACCTTTGTGCATGGTCTACACTGTAATAGACCATCCTAAATGTCATAATAATTACTATCAACATTTCACAACTCTGGTTTAATTGAGTGGAAAAATTGCAACATTTCACAAGTTTTCCAGAATATCACATTAATTACACTATGTATTGTGGTAAAGGTTATGTCATTTCAGTCTATACTTTCTTTGAACGTGGCTCTCGATAAACAAGTTTCTGACACTTCTTCTCTGCCAATTATTGTAAAAATTAAAATTGAACATCATCAACATCAACACTTGTTACCAAAACCTTCAGCAAACTTACAATAAAATCCCCCAACATTTCTTTGACAAAGATTTCAAATCCCATGATCTTAAGGAAAAAAATCATTCCCTGACATTTTCCTGAGGACAATCTCATTTTGAGAATCATAACATACAGCCTTACAAAACTACCCTTTGATGACATGTTTAAAACGGAGAATACAGTGGTCTCGAGTCACATGCCATAAACCTAACCATGTGAGAGAAGCGTCTGCAAGTGAGATGTTACAATTAAGTTGCCATTGGTGATAATGAAAGTAGTGCAGTGTTTGATAGGTTAGTCAGTAGTAACAATCATCTAAAGGTAAAAGAGTGTTTGTTGGGCTACAGTACTGCCTTACTGTAGACAAGCACAAAGAGGCAAGATGGAATCTCTTAAATGCTGGAATCTTAATTTTTTTTTCCACAAAAAAATATTATTAATATCACTTTTAGCTGCTTTCCCCTTCAAGTTCTCCTTTTTCAAGTTCTAATTGTCTAAGTTCCTTTTGCAGTTTCAATATCTGGTTTTCAAGTCCTTTTATCCTGCAAAAAAAAATTGATAAAATAGCTAAATATAAATGTATAATAGTATTGTTACCTCAACCTTTCTGGCCTAGTTACAGCTATGATAGCTTCAAATGTGTGGTTCCAGGAAATATCCATTCCCACCCCATGGAGGATTATTGAAAATTCCAAGGGGCTGGCAGTGCAGTCTCAAAAGCTAAAATCCTTAAAGGAAAGTATCAATCAAAACTAGAACTTCCAGCAGGGTTTGGAGGTCTCACACAAAAAAACCCTCTGTGGAAGGGGTGTGGAAACCATCTAAAACAACACAATGGTAAAAAATAGTCACACCTAGATTTTCAACTGCAAAACAGTTCTTGAATTGGTGTCAAAATTGGAATTGTTTTGTAAGAGTGAGTCCCCATTAGGAGGGGGGTCTGAGTATCCCAAATCTCATTAATTTTTGGCCCCAATATCTCCTCCTTGTAACCAATCAAACTGTTTGGTTATCAAATGTACGATTGCATTCAATTGCATTTACAGCATGTAATTGCTCAACTTTTTTGTGAGAATTTGATTGTGTTCCAATACCCAAACTCAGTCAAATGCAATCATGTGATTGGTGTTCAATTAAGTAACTTTGATTGAGTTCGATAGTCCAGTTTCGAGTTCACCATGACTGCTGAATAAAAGCACTGAGAACGCATTTGCACAGGGTTAGCCTCGACCTTAAAAAAATATTCACAAATACCGGCGGGAAGGCGCCACAAATTTGAAAATTAAATAATACACAGGGCTGTAAACAGGTCATCTTCTCACTGGAATTTGTGAATATTTTACTTTAGATCGAGGCTAACCCTGTGCAAATGCATTCTCAGTTCTTCTAATCAGCAGTCATGGCAAACTCGAAACTGGACTATTAATCAAATATTTGTTTTTGGTTCGATTAGCAACGTCAGGACATCCCATATCCCAAAAAGCCCTAATACAGCCTCAAGACTGACTCATTCCTTACTTTAAGAAAGAACATAAGGAAGTTCCAAATGGTACACAGTTCAGCTTGTACCTTGTAAAGAAGAAACAACCACCTACCAGTAACACACAGTGCTGACCGAAAGAGGTCAGCACCATGTGATATGTACTGTTATTACCCCTGGTGCTGCAAGAGGCTGGCAGTGACAAAAATTGCACCTCCCACAAGAAAATGGAGTTATACACCAGCAGGATGGGCCACTTGGCTCGCTTTGAAATTGTTTTGACTTGGCATTTTAATACTATGAACTACCTGATTTTCCTCTCCAACTTTTCCTTTTCCTGCCTTAAACTTATCATCTTCATCATCTCAGCACGTGGCATGTCTAAGATCCTTTTCAGCTCTTCATCCTTCTCAATCAGTTCCCTTTTTTCTTGCCACCAGTCTTCAGCATCTTTCTGGTCTACTAGTTCCTTTTCTAAACAACTTTGGGCTAACTGTTTGTCCTGTAAGATTTTCTGTTCTCTACTTAAAGCAGTTCCATTAACAGTGTCAGAGACACTTGACTCCTCCACAACATTAGACAAGTTTTTTAAGCTTGTGTGCGAACCATGCACATCACTGCTATCTGATCCCAATGAAGAAGGGGAGTGTACGTCAAGGGGCACACTACTCCCTGACCCTTTTGAGGAAAGGGGTTGTACATTTGAGGTGGCATTACTTGCTGATGTTGACGTTGGTGAAGCTAGAGTTGAAGAAGGGGGCTGTTGGCCAAGGGGCATGCTACTCAATAATCTTGTTGAGGAAGAAGGGCATACATCAGAGGAGACACTACTTGCTGATGCCACTGGAGAAGGAAGACCACTACTTGGTAATACTGCTGAAGAATAGGGAATCGTAGGTGGTGGGGGCATATAGAGATAATCCTGAGATTGTCTTTCAAGTGCATTTTTATGAGCCCCTGTGAAAGGTGTAGCTTCCATCCAGCCTTCCTCTATCTCCAGCAAGCTGTCTTCCCAATCCGAGTGATCTGACTGCACTTCAACAGAATGATCCAGTCTTTTCGTTTGTGGGTGCAATCTTGGATTTTGATTAGCTACAAAAATAATACGATAATATAGTAATTATAATATTTATTATGATGACTACGTCAAAGTCAAGGTAAAAAGTTATACATATGCCACATGGTATAATTATTATACCATACTGTGAAGAACTATCACCATAAGATCTTTAATTTACAAAATAGTTGAGATTCTTGCAGCTGTCTTTTTAATGCAACAAGGTTTTCTTTTTCCTTCTACAACTATTTTATAATCTGATACAGATGTGCTTTTTCAAAAGGCTGAGAGGCCCCTTGCATGCAACTCTGGTTCCCCTTTATTGGAAGCACAATGAAATGGTTATGATCATTAACATTGTGCTACCACGTAGAAACAGAAGAGTCACTCCTTAAATAACACTATAAGCACCATTGGTTGCTAGCAACAAAGTTAGCAATTATGTCAAAATCAAGTTAAGAACTGATCTTGTTTGATATGTAGAGAGTCAATACTTATATAAAGTTAAAAAAAAATAAAAGCAAACCAGGAAAAGATACAGTATGTGTACTTCTCAAACTCATTAATAATTCTTCAAGTTAAAACAAAGATTAGCATAAAATTTGATGATTTTACTTCTCCATTTACTCGTTAGTTTTTGTTTCAATAATTGAGAAGATAAATCAAACACTCGAGACAGTGTTTCATCGGCTATCCAAACACCTCAAATTTCATCAAAAATACTCCCGATAAAAAAACTGTCTTTTGTTTTGATATATTACATGAAAACTTTGATTACCTGAGATAGGGAGATTGTTGGATCTCTGGTTTTGTAACAAACCACAACCTTTCAATCCTGCTGACACAAAGTTTGAACATAAAAGAGGCTGCAGAGATTCATCCAGCTGAACACAATCCATATTTAATAGCTGAACATTCAGACTTGGCCCTTCAGATTCAAAAAGTTCAACCAGGAGTATGCCATCCTCTTGATGCTTTACCACTGATGCTTGTAACATCTGAAAAATACATATTCAACACATTTCAAAAAGAGTTTTCAAAGTAATAGCACACAAGATATAATCTTTAAGTAAAAATGGAAACAATTTATGATACAAGTTTTTGGATGATCCCATCCATTGCCAGATATGATACCAAAAGAATCAGGTAATCTGGGTCATCCGAAACATGTATATCAAAACTGTTTGAATTTCTTGAAAAAAGTGTTTTAACTTTTACTTTTTTAGTCCTTTTTGCAACAGTTGCGGTTGATTTTCTTCAGTTTCAGTTTGCAGGATCCCTTTTATGCCCCTCTCTTTAACTATCACTGGCATGCACCTGTGTTCACCCTAGAATATCTCCTGGCCTCCCCAAAATCCTGGAGAAATCATCAGCTGAGTTCAAAATAATTTAAAATAAATACAATCATGTAATTGCTACTGCTGTACTAAAAGCACTTCAAACCCCATGTCAAAAGGCTGAAGCCAAAAAAATAACTCATTTTAAAATAATAAATAAATAAATACATCAGTGAGTGTTTTAAACTCAAAAATTCAGTCAATCTACTTCACTGCTGTAACCCTTGTTCCATGTATGAATACATGTATATCACATTTTGTGTTTGCCTAGTTTTTAAACTTTTAAACTGGCTAAACCAGAATTAGGCTCTCATTTATATTTTTGCCTCACATGTAAGCACTAAACTGAGATTATAGCTGAATAACGAAATACCTTTCTCTTTCTCTTCACAGCAATTAACATATTCTTGACAGTGTCTGGATACATTTGCAACCCTGGCCTTTTTTGTATTCCTGCAAGCTTAGACTGCATTACTTGCGGTGGTAGGTCACTAAAACCTGGAGGAAGCTCACACAAACACTTCAGCCACACTGTCTCAGTCCAGCCATAGTCAATATTTTGAACCACTACCTGAAGAAAACAACATATTAATTTTTTACTAGTGTGAATGGCAATGCAATATTGAGCCATACAGCCTATTACTAACTACACGAGGACATTAGAGACTGGACTAACTTTACAGTAATTTAAAGTGTTGGAAATGATCCATGAATTTACTTCTGAGTATTAGCCCTAAGAAAAGAACTTTGGGATTACACAAAATAAAGAAATTATTTTGATCTCAGTGAGATTCAAACCCATGACCTCGGTTTTCATTTGGCCAACTTCTGACAAGGTTTGTTTTTAGGACTAGCTGAGGCCACACTTACGATGATTGTATGAAGATTATTTCAGCTGAACATTTGAGCAATACTGGAAAAATAAAGTTACCACAAAAACCTCATTGCATAGTTAGAACTGTAGTACCAGTATTTTGAATACAGTTAGGAACTTATTGGGACATTGGCTCTAACGCTGACCCACGAGAGAAAATTGAATTTTAAGTTATCCATATTTTAATTAAACTGGACATTTCATGTCAGTTGAAAAGACAATAACACACGGTTAAAGCATTCTTACGAGGTTTGACATTAACTTTCTCAAGAATGCTTGACAATTTAATCATGGGGTCACTTAGAGAAATAAATAAAAGTGAGATGCTTCAAATAGTATTTAAAAAGTTACTGTGCCACATGTATTGAGTAGATTTTTTTGTAAATAATTTTTGCACTTAATGCTCTAGCTTTGAGCAGAATTCGTCTTAAATACTGAACATTACCTTGTCTACTACTCCAGTGGTNCCGATAGAGCAAGAGATAAGACAAAGAGCTTGGGGCTGGATCGGCCACACGTTGAGGAGACCATATGGACATGTAGTCAAGAGGGCACTGGAGTGGAACCCACAGGGGAAGTGAAAGAGAGGGAGACCCCAGCACACCTGGCAACATACAAGAATGGCAGAGTTGGAGAGGAAACATCTCGCGTGGAATGAGGCAAAGTGCACTGCACAAAATAGGGTTAGGTGGCGCGCTCTAGTTGAGGACCTATGTTCCATTAGGAACGAAGAGGAATAAGTAAGTAGGTATTGACTGAGTGGGCCGGGGTGGGGAGGGGGGTACTGTCATATATGGGCTATATAGGTATGTGCTGCTGTGAAGGGTATGGTTTTCAAGCAGTTTACTCTAGAATCGTGTATATAAATCAGAGCATTTGGGTCTAGAATAGGGCATCATTTTTCATGAAACTGACCAGTTGGTTGAGGATTTTATCTAGACTAAGGAAACCTGGAATTGCCACTCAAAAATAAAAAAAAGTCAAACTGGTAAGTTTAAATTTACACAAATAAGCCTTTACAGTGTCGATAGATGGGGGGATTTGGGGAGTTCACTCTAATATAGGGTAGCAAAATTCAGCTGAACTAGCTCTGGTTTAGACCAAGGGTTCCAGGGTCCCAGTGGCACATCCCCACCCAGAAATTCCCCGGGTACCCCCCTGGGTGAGTGGGAGGGCTGGACAGGAAAATATTTGGCTCGAGGTCAGTACGTCCTGACCGAGAGTCAAATAGTTTCCCATCTGGCCCGACCTAACTCAGTAAATAAGCATTCTATCATATATTATGACCATATAGTGGTGAAAATTTTGAAAATTCTGTTTGAACCTAAATAGAAAGCGACTACATAACATCAGGCGGCTGCACGCAGGACATCTACAAAAAAAATCCACACTAAAAAGCTTCTCATTTATTCATTTGCTTAGGAATCCGGCAAGAAACTCACAATTCATTGATTTGAAAAACATGACTGAGTTTCTCATTTCTGTTTTTCTCTAAATTAAAAGTACCCAAATTTCTTAAAATATTATTCTTTCAAATATTAACATGGGTTGTGAAAGTATGAATTGGACTAGTTACTGAGAGTCAGAAAAATCATTCAATAGCCATAAAGCTGTAATGTCTAAAAAGCCAACAGAAAGTTGATATAAAGCTGTCAAAAATATGTCAAAACCATCAAAAACTTAGCGAGCAACTAACGTTCACTCCACGCTTCACTGAGATTGTTTACTAATCTTCTTCATCTGAAGACTCAATAAAATGTCTGCGTCATTTCAAGCTATTTGTCAAACTCTCAGATCATCTTAAACAAGGGAGAACCAGTGACTGAATATTAATTACACCAACGTTGGCTCAGGCTCCAGCTACAACTGCATGGGTTTGCTGACCTTGCTGTGTAGTAATTACACCAACAGGAACAACCAAGTTTTACAGTGTATTATCTGTATGAATTGTGTGCCAACCTGAATGAACTTGTGTTTGGATTCAAAGAACACTTGATCCTGATGTACATAAGGTATGTTTGTGATTTTTCTGGCATCTCCAACTTCTCCCAGACGAAAACAACTTCTCCTTGAAGAAAACATTCATTTCGTACTTTGTTTTCTTCACGGTGTTTTCTTGCTTTTGACCCACATGTATGATAAATTCTTTGATGCTTTTTACTGAAAGAAGTTTCTTCTCAAGACTGTTTAGTTGTTCAGTCCAAAAGTTCATTTTTTTCTTAACAGTGTTTGCTTGCTGTTGGCTTCTGATAAAGTTGTGAACTTCTGCAGTTGTAAGGAGTGTTAAAAATGTTAAATGTTAAAAAAAACATATTGTAGGTAAGTTCATCGTAAGTATTGTATAGTAAGTAGTTTACTGTAATTGACGTATCACAGGTAAATTTATTGTAAGTATTGTATTGTGACTAGTTTATTGTAATTATGTATTGTATGTGAGCTTTTTCAAAATAAAAAGTCAAAAACAAAAGAGTGTTGACTTTCTTTCCGTGCTTTTGGAGTAAGTTGGCGACTGAAGTAGTTCTGCATAGGACAGTTTGCCATGATGGTAAAATTCACTGTTAGAATGTTCACTTTCATTATGTACTCACATTGAAGAAAAAAGAATTTTGCATTCACATCATTAACTCACATAGATTGTGCCAAACGCATCTCTAGTAGGGCTGTACGCATTTCTAGAGGGGCCATACGCGTTTTTCCAGCCCTATCACTTTGAAGTGCACAGCCTTCATACGGAACAGGACCTTTGATCTTATGGCTTTCCAAGGAAATAGCACACAGGGCCGTACGGGTCATATGATAAGATCACTTATGTGGCAAAAATGAGTTAAAAAATAAAAAATAAAATGGGGCAAAAGTTATCTTTGTTTGGTTTTTTACCACAGTCATGGTCTGGTGGCACACTCTTGTTATGATCTAATGTTAGCATACTGTGTCTCTTCTCTCTCCCAACAAGTCACTTACATATGGCCCCACCTACCCCCAGTGAGTAACCTTCACCCTGTAAAGTTGCGATGTAAATTTACTGCCCCCCAACCCTCTTTCAAAGTTTCACCATGGCAGAGGGAAGAGATATAATAATAAATAATAATATAAATAATAAATAATAAATTTAATATTTTAAGAGGAGGTCTCCAATCAGCTAGAGGTGGTTTTCAGGAGCGTTCTAAAATATACATTAAATGTCTAAAATACAGAAATAATAAAAGCTTAAAACTTAAAACTACAACTGCACGTAAGGTTTAAAACTAGAACTAAGATTAAAAATACTACACAACTGGTACATGTAACAAACTAAAGGCTAAAAATGGTTAAGTGAAAAAAAGTAAAAGATCATGATAGATTGAGTTATTTTGTGTTCAAAAGTTGCAACTCTTTACCTTGAGGATCTGAAAATGTGTCTACTTCAACTGTCTGAACTCCACAATCCCTTAGAACCTTGACACCAACTGAAAAGAAACATCAGCCTGACAGTTGGGACATATACTTCAGAAAGAAATTTCATACCAAGTTTCAATTTTAGAAATAAAGTTTACTTCCTAGCCAGTCACAATACAGCCAATAGAATTATATTGTCATTTGATACAACAGAAAAAAATATATATATATAACCCTGATTACTATTTAGAGTGGATTTGAAACAAGAACATTAGAACCAGAACAGGAATCAGATCTTGAATTTGTTAAATATGCAAGAAATAACCTTTTCAGAGGAAACACAGGCTAACTACAATGAAAAAAAAAACACTGTGTAATCAGTTTAATCTTGTTCATACACCTGTAGATATTACATGTACACAACCATGCAGGGGTGCGAAAATTTTATCTTCAAGTGCCGATGCTCTCACAAGTGAGTGTAGTGGATGAGAGATATCATGAACATGGGAAGATAAAATTCATATCCCCCAGAGGTAATGTAATCTTCCGTTTATTATAACATACACTATGGATGAAACATGCAAATTTAAGTTATCGCAATTACTTGAGGACAGGACTGTAAATGAAATCAGTATATAAATCAATATTATTAATATATTGACAGCCATTTTACAAAATGCCTAATTATTGCTTCTCAAGAGAATGCAGTTATTTTCTGTGTTAAAAAATTTTAATGAGACCAACAACTGCATGACCTCATGCTTGAATGAAATGCTCTGACTGATACCATTGGTTGACATGTCCATAACCAAGACATCAGCTGGTATCCTCACATGTAAAACGATAATATCTAACATCACATGACGAAGAAATCAATTTTTAAGAACAAGAAAAATCCTGGTATTTCATCAATATACCTAGATATAATAAGACAACAAAATATGAAACAGCTTATTGTGTTTCTGTTCGCGACCTGAATCAATCATTGATTGTGTATATCTTTCCAAGTTCCTGCCCTGTACCAGTTCAGGATTTCATTTTGAATTCACTCTACAACTAAATAACCACCATTGCTGTCTTGATGTAACTCTTTGTTATAAAGAAGACTAAACTTCACCTCCTGATGCTTGCCTACAGTTGCCACTACATTGACTTTCTTCACTTGTCTCAGTGTTTGATTCAATGTCTTTCTTGCCAAGACCAACAACAACAACACATGCATAATCCTAGGGTAGAAAAAGTATCAACTCAGTGACAACTTTTATTAGTATCACCCAACTAGTGGACTAATGCAAATCCTACATTTTAATTGCCTCCGCTACTAGAGGACTATTAGAAATAGCCCTCAAATAGCGAAATTGGCCCAATCGAGCGTGACGCTTCCTTTTGCTTAATTTCCAAATAAATATTTCTTCAACTTGCATTTGCTAACTTTATTATTGCCTTTTCTGTCCCACTAGTTGGGTGATACTAAAAAAATTAGACCCAACACCATCAAGGGCAACAGGTCAATAGCCCATTTGGCTTCGCCTCATGGGCTATTGACCTGTAGCCCTTGTGGGCTACGGGTCTAATTGAAGGGTTTCGTGCAAAAAGGGTGTATGTAGCATTTTGGGCCGATTTTTATTTTTTGCAGGATTGAGCTAATTTTTGGCAGACTGACTTGTTTTAACATGAAAAGCATCATTGTGTAATTGTTTTTCTTGATTTGCACTTCATTTTCGAGAAATAACGTATGCAAAAAAAATCAGTTTTCCGAGCGGCATCTTTTGGAGCGAATCCTTCCAAGGTGGATTTTGACGCGGCGCAAACTTAACCGGTTACTTTCAACAGCTTCGACAGCACGGTTTTTTTTTAAATAGATGTTTTGATTTTTGAAAGAAGTAGAGAAATAGACCAGAAAAAAAATATATTGACCGACCTCGTATCGAACCGGTGTCACGACAAAACAAACTCAAATCCGGCCCGTTCAGCGCCTATATTCACTTGCGCTAACGAAGCAACAGTAAGAGAATTGCATAATTATATGAATAATAAAACTAGCGGCAAATACTACACTTCGGTGACTTCATCATTTAGCAAAACAAAGGTTTCTTTTGTTTTTTGCTCAACAAAAGATCTCCAAAAGATACCCTTGGAAAACTGAGTTTTTTGCATACGTTATTTCCCGAAAACGAAGTGCAAATCAACAAAAACAACTACGCAATGATGCTTTTCATGTCAAAACAGGTCAGTCTGCCAAAAATTAGCTTGATCCTGCAAAAAATAAAAATCGGCCCAAAATGCTACATATGCCCTTTTTGCACGAAACCCTTCAATTGTTACTTAATCAGTGACACAGGCTTCTTGGTAAAAAGGCAGAGCAAACCTAGCAAGAGTCAAATCTACAACCTTCCACCTGTATTTTAGCATTTTGATAAAAATTTACAAAGTGTAGTCAGTAGTAAAAAGCTCTTAACAGTACAAACCTTATCAATACCGAAGTATGTTTTTGATTTGCCAGTCTTTCCCTCAAATCCAGACCTGATACAAAAAGATTACATTCAAAAGACACATTAAGCAAACATCACACTTTCTTACACTTCCCAAGAGAGTTGCCATTTTTCATCATACAAAACAACTTTACCTCACATGTTCCACAGCAACTTCCACAAAACTTTTTAATGGGATTAACCTTATACAACTAAACAAACGTCCTTCAAAACTTTTGGTAGCAATGAATATTACGAACTACATATACATGCATCTCTACCAGACTATTTACTGAAATGTGATATTTTAAGCTTTAGAGCAAAATTTACACCCATTTTTTTTTTTAAAAAAAAGAATTCAATAGTTCAATTTTCAATTATTCAGTTGTCTGCATTTTGCCTTTATGATTCTCTCTATCCACTTTGGGTGAATTTGAGAAAAATTATTACAAAAATTAGCCATGTGAAATACGAATACCTGGTCTTCAAGGTTATGGGTAACAAACGACCCCTCTTCATTATTTNTGGGGAGGTACTCCCTATACTGGCCTAAAACAGGGCAGGAAAAAAAATTCTGACATCCATTTGCTCAGTGGGCCAGTACATTTCAGTTTAACTAATTGAGATCAGTTTTTCATGCATCTCTCCTGTTATTGATCATGAATTTCGTCGTAACATTGTCAAAGTAGCTGTGGATCCATGAGGCGATAGCTGAGTGCATCCACAGACTACTTTGACTACAATGTTTGACTACATCCACAGACTACAATGTTATGATGAAATTCATTGTCAATAACAGGACAGACGCATGAAAAACTGACGTCAATTTGTTTTTTACGACAACAAATTGTCAAATTACCCGCTCTTGCTCCTTGACGCATTGCATAAATTATAAATTCATATGTCTGTCCGCTTATTGACAATGAAAACTAGCCAATGAGCATGCAAGAATTTCTGCAGTTAGCGTAAAATTTCAGTTGCCCCCACTAAAAAATGTCTTGCCCAGTAGGTGTGCGGTGTTCATGCCTTATCAATTAGGTACATCATTTACTAGGTACTGTCTATAATCAGTGATAGACTGTAACAAAATGAGCTTACTGGTACTAAACTGGGTGAAAGATACTGGACTGTAACACAAATGGATGTATTTCAAATTAATCCATGCTACGAAGGCTAATTGCACTTGCCCACCAGACCACCAAACTTCCATTTTGACTTGCCCAGGAGCAAAAGTTACTTGCCCCGGGCAATCAGACCTGCGTTTTTCTCCTGCTCTGCCTATATAGGGAGGCTCTGTCCAAAAGAGGTATTTTTTCGAACCGATGCACCTTATGGCTGTATCGTTTAATTTATTAAGCACTTAAGACAACATTTTCTTTCTCGCCAATTTATTTATAAATACGGGCCAGTCATGATTTCAAGCATGTGAAAGAGGTACCTTTTTGAATTAAAGGTATATGAAAGGGGTACATTTTTGGTCAAAATGGTATACAAAAGGGTAAGGTATTGGACCTTGCACTAGAGCCTCTCCATATAAAACTTTGTCGAGTAACCCCCATGGGGTGTTACAGAAACTGGAAGCACTGAAAACAATACAACCCAAACTACGGGTGTTACTGCTGAGGAATTATATGGCCAAAGTGTACTGTAGAACAAGGAGGGTTGGGACAGCCTCGTGTGTGCCTATATAAGCATACAAGATCACCACATAATATTTCTACCAGATTGAAAACCACTACAAAATTCTCTGCTCTGAGGCACAATCCCTTGAAAGTCAAGTTCGTACTAACAGTTACCTTCAAAGTGGTGATGGGATTAATGCGTACATGGTTTAAGTTTAGAACAAGTGACACAAGATGAACTTTTTGGCAAATGGGAGGCTTTAACTTTCGATATGTAACGCAAAGATCAGTTTGCAGGGCTGTCACACAACACATCCATGCCAGTCACGCTACACATTGAAACATGAACCACCCAGATAAAGAAAAAAATTATGAATGAATGAATCAGAATAATATCTATAGTCAATAGCATGCGTTAGTTTCTTACAGTTTGATCATTTCTTTGAGCCTTCCTGAAGTTCTTAAGTTGAAATTTTTAGCTGCATCGGTAAAGAAATTCTCTACTTCGCATTTGTCCGTGTCATTACGGCTGTCTACCTCATACACACCGAGAACAACTCCACGATCTATGACGGCCTAAAATAAGGTAAATAGAAAAAAATAAGCTGAAAAAATTGACATTCAAACTTTTAAATTCTTTTCGAAGTACTAACCTTTGAACAAAATGCCCTGACCGTGGGTGAAAAATATCTGGAAGTGCGACCAACCAATAGAGAAACAGCCGCCATCTTGAAACTTGCAAACTGGTTTCCAGACTTCATCGGACAGGACTTTTTCAACCTTCCTGCAGCCTCTTCCAGCCTCATAAATTTCATGTGGAAAGTAAACCTACTTACCGAAAGCAATTTGATCCGTAGCTGTTATGTGTCCGACTTGATTCTTTTAAATATAAACTCGATTTGTTAAACAGTTGGATACGTGCTCTTCTTACAGATCTTAGGTCTCGTCCACACTACGCGGGAGAAATTTGAAAACGCAACTTTATTTCTCCGGTTAAGCTGGGTTAAGCCAACCACAGGCGGCCCAAGCTCTCAATGTTATCCCTTTTTTTTTTTTTCCTTTTTATGCGAACGTTCAGGCTAACG